GGTTTTGAGAGAAAAATTGAGCCTGAGGGCCGAGTGATGTGAGCAATATATGTGAGATGGGTGGAAAAAATTACCTGCAATAGTAATGGACTCCCTGCGAACCTAGCCGTCTCCCGATGATGAAAAGCGTCTAAGCCCATCAATGTCTCGGCCAATATCATGGCGATGCAGCGTTTTCCCTCTTTCAAGCCCTCGGTGACCTCAATCAAACGAGTGCTAAATCCGCCGGAGCCCGGGGCTAGTAAGAAATGAGATAGCATGCATAAGCAGAGCGCATGTCGTCGATAACCCTGCCAATGATGGTCGCCGCGGTCACCAACAACAGAAAACCGACAAACCAAGCTCAGAGTGTCCAACTCTCCATCATGAATCAATCACCGAGCATCATGCATAGTAAGGCTGCACATCCGTCCTAAGGCTTGGACGTGGCCAAACCAGAACTGAGGCAAGATTTTCTCATCGCGCTAGAATTCCATTAAAGCTTGGAAATCCTCAAAAGTGGGACACATCTCTTGACCGCCAAAACTAAAGACGTGTGTTACCGAATTCCAAAACCTTGCCGCGGCATGGAGGAACGAAAAATGCAGCGGGATGTGACCCAGCGTGAATAGTGCATTTATGCCAAAACCCTAGAAATTCAGCCTTTCTGAGCCATCAAGTTGGCAATCTAAGTTGTGAGATTTTGGGCAAGAAACTCTTCCACTTGGTGCAAATCAGTGTTGAAATGAGAAAAACTACAGTGTATGAGTATAGTGTATGAATGTTGTGAGTAGTGTATTAGTACAGAATGCAATGTATGAGTACAGTGTATGAATGTCGTGAGCAACGCTATGAGTAGTATGTGGGTTACAGTGTATTAGTGCCGTGACTGTTGTGTATCAAGTGTCGTGTTGATAGTGTGATGCATCAGATTATGTATGAAACAGATTATGCAGAGTTTGAGACTGCGGTTGAAAGAACTTACTGGGATGCCATAGATAGTCAATAGGTCGATGCTCCGCTGCAGCATCCCCATCACAGAGGCAGTCAATTCCAGAGACTGGCAAGTGTACTCCACGGAAGCCTGCAAAAGGGTTAAAAGCATCAGTATTCTGCGGAATATCAAGAGAAATGAAATGAAATGGCTGTACAGAATGCAAAGTGTGGTAGTACATACTGGGGTCGAGCCATAGACTCCGACAAGCTTATGATCAGCCGGAGGAGGAGCGATGGTTATCTGGTAAGTCTCCCTACCCTGTGCTCGGCATGTCATCGTCGTAGGCAGCTCTGGCCATCCAACTCCCTGCCCTCTCCGAGACCCACTCCTGCCTCGGCCCGGAGGTGCCCTCGGTGCCCTTGCTCCTGCTGCTGGTGCCGCTGGCCTTTCTCTCTTGACTCGGCGAGCACCGATCAGAGGCCACATGAGATAAGCCTGGATGTACTCGGCGTAATCGCCCTCGTCTCTAAAGCGCTCATAGCTCCAGCCAATCGTGTAGTCTATCATCTCCTCTAAGATGTACCTCTCAGCGTGCCTCGTGTGGGTAAGAGGAGGTGCTTGAACTGTCTGCTCTAGCACGGCCAAGGTCTGCCGCAAGAAGCACTCCCCAAAGTACCAAGCACGTCAAACCGGTCGCTTTAACAAGACCCTGAACCGGGCAGTCTCTCGAGCACCGGTATACTGCTCCGGAACTGTATCAGGCAATGGGGCCCAAGGCTGCCAGGTGATCTGCAAATAATACACAGTTTGTTATCTACTGTTATTGAGAGTACAATACAAAGCGAAGCTTAAATAAACTGTAATGTTTGACATACCTCGGCTGCAGTGATGGTGTTAAAGTAACGGCGGAAGAGCATCGAGGACTCTCATGGCCTCCGCTCGCATCTCACATCGAAGCGGTGGGAAAACAGAACCATGGTGGGCGTCTATACATCTGGCACTGGGGCAAGCCTAGGAAAGTAGGCATACACCCACAACTACAGAATGTAACAGAGCAGATATGAGTATGCTTATCAGATAAAGTAGTATACAGATAAAGCAGAGTGTAGTATGTGTAGTGTATTGTGCAGTGTGTGCATTGTACAACCAGTGTAAAGAAGATTGCGTGCGCGCAGTGTGTGTGATGTACAGATAATGAAAAACAAAATTGAAAAGACAGAAAAGGGAACGTGTACCTCCTAGGCTCGCCAATAACCTCCAAGCAACTGCGCGTTGCGGCAGGAGGATGAGCTCATATATCTGTAAAGGGTGGCCAAGCCCGCGCCATCCCAGTCGTAGCCGTAGATCCGCGTCACGTCGACAAGTGCGCTCAGTAGGGAAAAGGTGACAGTGTTCGCCCGGTCGGCGAAGAGCGTGGTCCCCAGCAGGAACATGATGAAGCCACGAGCATACTACACCTCCTCCTCCCGAGTAGTAGGTGCCTGGATCCAGAAGTGATCCTCGAACCATGAGTACCTCACAAACCCTGGCCGAGCAAGAGGTGGCTGAGTGCCAAGCAAGTATAGCTGAGTGGCGCCCCACTCATCCATATCTATATCAAAGGGGATCGGATCACCACTACTCCGATGCCTGTGAGCATGGAGAAGTCAAAGGGAGTAATCGTCATCTCCCCGGTGGCAGAAAGGTGGAAGGAGTCGATGGTATCCCGCCACCTTTCCACCAAAGCAGGAAGAAGGGGCTTGCTCACAGTGAGGCGCGAGAGTCCCATGCAGACAGTCCTAAAGCCGGCCTGGTCGACAATATGGCGAACCGCATCAGGTAGCTCCATGTACCATCCTCGAGCAACGATATTCCCATACCCCCGGAAGGCATGGGAATCTCCCTGTGTTCAAAGACAAACAGATGCGAAGTAGTGTCAGATGTTCAGTGTTTGAATGCCTTCAGAATTGGGAAAAATGCAGTGTGTGTGCATGTGTTTGGGTGCGCTCAGAATTGATGAAAATGCAGTGCAGGTACATGTGTTCAGATTTAAACAGATATTGGATGTGGGTGTGCTCACAGTGAACTACAGCATATGATGTATCACTGTATTTGAATTGTTCAGTTGAGAATGCAGCGCGGGTGCATGTGTTCAGATTTAAACAGATATCGGGTGTGGGTGTGCTCACAGTGAATTACAGCTTATGATATATCAGTGTGTTTGAATTGTTCAGTTGAGAATGCAGCGTGTGTGCATGTGTTCAGATTTAAACACATATCGGGTGTGGGTGTGCTCACAGTGAACTACAGCATGTGATGTATTAGTGTGTCTGAGTTAAGCAGTTAAAGAATAGAATCGACTATCGCATTTATATGTTCTCCATTGCAAAAAATGAAACAGAGAAAGAATATACCTCAGCGGCACTGTACGACAGATGTGACTCTGGCTCACACAACAAAAGCTCCAGCTGCGCACCCCGCGCATAGCCCCTGAAGTGGCGGATGCCATCGGGAGGCAACACGTGTATCGCCGGCCTGTAAGTCGCCAGATTGAATGGCTGGATACGAAGAGGTAGGAGCTCGACCTCGGGGTCCACGTCCATCTCTGGGGGAATCCCACCACGTGGAATGTCGTCTGCCATCTCAAAACACTACAACAAAAATAGTCTTTAGAGACGAAAATTAATGACGAATTTTTTTTTTGTCACGAAATATGTATCTTTTAATGACGAAAATCATATTTCGTCTCCAAATGTATCATTTTTAGAGACAAAAATAAAATTTCGTCACCAACCTAAATAATAATTAAAAAAATAGGTGACGAAATTATATTTCGTCATTATTTATATTTCTTTTGTCACCAAATATTTTCCCGCTAATATTTTCGGAGGGCGCCAAAATTAATAGATTTTTGGTGACGAAAAAATTTGTCACCAATTATAAAATTATTAATGACAAATATATTTTTGTCACCAATAATTTGGTGATATTTTAATATCATTTAGTGACAAAATTATTTTTGTGGCTAATATTTTTATCTTTGGTGAAGAAATAATTTTGTCACCAAAATATAATTTAGTCACTAAATATTTTAGGGAGAAATAAAAATTTTTAACAATTTTTAATTTTGAAATATATTTATATAATTTTACAAAGTATATGAATAATTTTTAATTTTAAAATATATTTAAAAAGAATAGAAAGCTTTTTCTGGGTAAGTAAAAAAATAATAATAACAAAATAGAAAGTTGAACTAAAACCAAACAGGGACCTTGATTTTTACCTTCCCACCTAATTTCCCCCGTGTTTTTGCTGCTAGGTAAAACCCCCATTCTCTTCACCTTGCACATCCATTTTCTCACGATTGGAAGTTCTCTCCCTCTCACAATCACACGTCGGCGTAGACATTTGTTGACCGTCGGGTTTTCGCCATTTACCGTTGTTGTGCTACACCATCGCCTCTTGATTCTGGCTCGGTAGGTTCATCTCCTCTTTGCTCTGTATTCTACTTCTCTCTCTCTCTCAATTTGTTATTTGAATCTCTGTTCTATTTGCTTTGTATTTCCTTTGTTTCAGTTATTTGTTTCTTTGTCAAGGGTTCATAACATAACCTGCAATTCTATCTGCTTTCTATTGAGTTTTGAACTAGAGAAGAACCATTATATCTCTAGCTTCTAGTGGATTGCTAGGGTTTTTTAAAGATTTTTTTTCTTGCTTATTTGATGCTATTTCTTATTAGATTGCACTGCAGGAACAATGTTTTTGATTGAATTGATAAGATTGATTCTTTTCAATTCATATTATTATTCTTTGATGTTATTTTTTTCCTGCTTTGTATTTCTTATTTTTTTTCTTCTTTTTTTTTCTGAACTTTATTCTTTTCTGAACTTTATTCTTTTTATTTTTTTCAATATGTATCACCAACCGAATCTACAACCCTCAATTTTTTTAAAGAATGACTCTGTTCCCACTAAAACAAGCTAAAAGGGTCACCCAATACGCTTCATTTTATGGAATTTAAGCCTCCCACCCACATTCAACTGGTGTGCTTCTCCACTTTGTTTGACTTTGAATTTTGTGGGAGAAGTTGTGGGCCTCCACAACAATGGACTCCACTGTGATCCTTACAACTTCCCTCTCTAAATCTGAACTAGACATTCACTCTAACTACAAAGATGTTAATGTCATAATTAAATTACTTTAAAAAAAAAAAATTAACTAGAAGAAAGAGAAAAAAAAAATAAAAAATCAGTATACTTCTATACTATCATATAGTCCTTTCACATTTCACTCATCTTTTCATTGGAGCACAAGAAGAAAGAAAGAAAGAAAAAAAAAAATGAAGAATACAAACTACTTTTCATTAATTTCAAAACGACTTTTATTGATTTCAGAACTTCTTCTAATCTTTTCATAATTTCGAGACAACTTTTATTGTTTTCAAAATTTCTTCTAATCTTTTCACAATTTTTTAAACGCTTAAACTACAACATTTCTCTTTACATTTTGTAGAAATAACAATTATTGATAATATTTCTGGGTGCATCATAATTATCATCTTGCTGATTTGGAGGATAGCCTTTTAACTTTTGGAAAGTGAGTTTGCTTTTTTATTTTATTTTATTAAAGGCATTTGAAGTGTGATTTATTTGGTGGAAAGAGAGTTATGAGTGGGTTTCATTCTTATTGTTGGAGACTCTTGCAATGTAAGTACCGAGGAGAGGAGGTATTATTAGTGTCAATTAAGAGAAAATGACATATTTCACATTCATCAAGTCTCTCACCTCTACTATATATGACTTCCAATTAAGCTCTTCGGAATTAGTTGCATTTTTTATTTTTTGTGCGTCCATAATTTGAGAAAAATGGGAAAAGAAGAATCACATCACAACGCTCTCACACCTACAAGTCTGTATGGAGCTCACTATGTCTAATTCAGAGACCAAAATTTGTGTGTAGCTTTAAAAAGTTTAAATTAATATAAGTAGCAAATGTAGAAATGCGTATTGAGGGTTGTGAAGTGTGAACTACACACCAGAATTCCTTCAAAGCAACCCATCAATGAACAATTTCAAACAGACTTGCTTGTTATGCCTACATTGATTATCCTCTATTGACAAGCATCAATTGGTAATTTTTTTTCCTCAGGAAAATGTAACTTATGTGCACTTTGTTCTTTATTTATTGGGCTGAAGTTGGACTACCTTGCATTTTAAATTTTAATTACTTTCATGTATCTTTTAAATGAATCTTTTTTCAAGGTTCCTCTTTAAATTGTTCAGATATCAGAGCACATTGAAGACGCCACTGTCTACTTAGATGCAGGATGTACAGAGAGTTTCGAGTTTCTTGGGGCATACCCTCTGCTACTAGAAGTTGGAGCACATGCTGTTTGCAGCTTGGAAAACATGTCTTCTCTTGATATGGTGAGAGAGGTTTAATTGTGTGAATATTCACTATGTTGGCTGTCAGATGTGTTATTAACTTTTAATTGTATTTTATTTTATATTTATATTTTCCATGTTGAAGCTTTCCGAACAGAAAGAATGCATAACTGCATATAAGGAGTAGATGTTTGACAATTCTTTTGGAAATTGGAATTATAAAAGCAAGGGAGAATATTATTTAGTTAAATGTGGTTGTTTTTTTTATGCTGGATTGCATCTGAATAGGGACTGAGAGTAGGAACAGATCCTGCTTCCAGCCCCAATCCATGACACCTAGTTGGAACAGACAGCTGAGCATTTGTCTTCACACTGCCATACATAGCCACAGGTACATGGTTTGTTTGGTTCATCTGTCTCTTAAAGTGCCAGACTATTCTATTGTTGCACAAAAAAAGAAAAAAAAAATGTACACCATGTTTAGTCCCGCGTTGGAATTTTGAAAAAAAGAGTAAATTACACTGTTGTCCCTTGAACTAAACCATTTTGTATTTATTCTTTCCACTGCAATGTGTGTGAAATTTGGTTGACCTGTAGGTTCCATGTGTTACATGTCTAGGTCTATACAAATGGAGAATGTGTACGTCCTCAAAAATGAAGCAGGCATGTGGCAGTGGCTATTTGGCAAAAGTATGACTAGCATAATTCTTCTCAATATCGGTTCAAGTGATGGATTTGCCGGAATTACTGCTCCTTTAGCCAGAATTCTCCCAATTCAGATCATGCCAAATTTTGGGTTATTAGTTTCTTTTTTTGGTTCTAACTCTTAGTATTTGATCATGACTGTGAATTCATCTCATATGTCACCAACTTGGTTTCTTTTTATGTTATTTGATTTGAATTATCTTATTTTTACTTATCAAAATAATTGAACTTTATTTTGTAGATTGATTTAGCAATGTTTGGTGGTGAACTATTGTGTCAGGTACAGCTAATTCATTGTCTATTTTTCTCTTGTTATGTTAAGAAATTATTTGAAATTCTTTTTTTCCTTATTTTACTGTTGTCGCTTGGGATATTTTTCTTTTCTGTCAATGCCTTAATTACCTTTTAGAATTACTTATGGTAATTGAAGAACCATTCTGATACAGTTTTTAGACAATTAGGCCATTTAATTGACAAGAAGTGGAATAGTAAAGAATTCATGGTATAATGTTTTATGTTAATTGTCAAAAATTAATTTTCTTTTTACTAATGTTAAGTTTTGTTGTTTTTATTGGTGTTTCAATCGTGTAGGAACAATCACTAACTAATGTGAATAATAGGATGCAAATGAAAACAAAACATAGATGTGGATCAAAATCAATCCCGGTTAGGGTTCACAGCTCGGTGTGTTCTACTATTTTATTTTATCAGATTAGTAGGCTTTGTTATTTAAATATTTGAAATAACATTCAAAAACAAATGAATCAGATAATTGCAAATGGAGAAGTTCCTGATTTGGCAAAGTTTTACAAGTCCATCCACTATAATTCGAACACACATGAATGGATTTCGTCGGAGAGCCAAGCTAATTATGTATGTACAAGGCAATGCATATTAATTTTGATAAAATTATTTATTTGCTTTGTAGGGTAGAATAACTAATAATTGTTCGATTTATTTTAAATTAACAGGACAACATGATAAAGACGCAAGCCGAACACCTCTCGCAGATTGGTGTGATCCCTTTAAGCCAAGAGGAGTTGTCATTTAAGGTGCTTAAGCCAAGGTCAGGTTATGTGAAAGGACTCGGCTTGAGGCCTTCTTCTTCTATGAAGACTACTGTTGTACTTGTTGAAAATAGTGACTATGTTCAACGCCTTGAGATGCAAATAGCACAGCAAAATGAACAAATTGCAAGGTTTCAAAAGTCAGAGAAGAAACAAAGCAAGAAGATACAAAGTATCATAGAGTGTTTGACGCAGAAAGGTATCACGGGAAATTTTGAGAATGAGGAAAGTTCAGATTCTGATGAACAAGCTTCTTGGTTAGTATATTATATTTATATGTTAATTTAGTAGAACATTTCTTCTTTAACTAGGGTAGAATAAAAAACTACTTTTGACATTTAGGCACAAGGTCCCGGGAAAATAGTGAAGTATGCATCTAAAGGCCCAAAAAACATCACAAACACCTTGAGATTATCAAAAATTATCATGAACACTTTGGGAGGAATCAACATAAGTTGTGAAAACTTACAGAACAATCATAGGACTCTCGGTTGGAAAACATTTAGGCTTGAACATAGGCCGTTAGGGAGTAAAATCTTGAAATAGTCGTTAAAAGGCCAAGAAATATCATGAACATGTACGATAAAAATAGTCGAATTATACGACGAAATATCATGAACTAATATCAGGAACTTGTATAATTCGAATGGATTTCATGATATTTATACAAGTTCATGAATTAATAAATAGTCGAACTAATAACATGAATGGATTTCATGAACTAATAATTCAAACAAATATCATGAACTAATGTAAGTTGTAAAAATTTACGGAACAAGTACGATAAAAATTTGGTTTAAAATTTACTTTGAAATTTTTATTTTTTCTCTTATAGGTTGCATATTAACATATTTAGTGAATGGTTACCTTAACCTTTTGTTGTTGTTGTCTTTTCTTTTTATTTTTTCTTTTTTAAATGGCAGATTGGAGATGAACGAATTTGGTAACCCGCATAGCAAGAGTTTTTTGTTGATATTACCAGACACATCCATCACAGTGTAGTTGTACTTTTTGTTGATATTACCAAACATGTATTTTGACTATGTTGTTGTGGGCTATGATTATATTGTGATGGATCTTATCTTTTTGTTGATATTTTATTGAATAGATTAAAATGAACAGGTTTTTGTTGATATTACCAAATGAACAGGTTTTTGTAATGATTTGTAATGGATATTATATTCAGCAGGTTATTAAAATGCACAAGTTATTTTGATTGTGTTGTAGTTTTTGATTTTACTAAAATAGATGTTATAATTTAGATGTTATATATTAATTTCTTGATACTATGAGACATGTATTTTGCTTGGGTTGTTTTATGATAATGAACAAGTTAATTTTATATTGATTTGTATTAAATATTTTATTTAATAGATTATTAAAATGTACAGGTATTGTTTATTGAAAAAAATATATAAATTGCAAATATAACCCTCCCCTCAATTTTTAAAAATTATTTATTATTGGTGACGAAAAAAAATTGACACTAAAACTTTCTAATCCCAACAAATAATTTTGTCACACATGAATAAAATTTTATTTAATTCTAGTGACAAAATGAACAGTATAAGTGACAAAATATTTAACATTTAGTGGCAAAATGTTTCGTCACCAAATACCAATAATAGGCGACAAAATAAATTTTTGTCACTAGGTACTTTTAGTGACGACGAATTGATGACGAACGTGGCGACGAGATTATTTCGTCACGGATCAATTTGGTGACGAAAATTTCACTATTGGAGACGAAGTGATTTTGTCATTAAAGTATCATTTTGTTGTAGTGAAAGGAGCGTGAAAATGGCCGAGAATGTGAAAAACGGGCAAGAATGCGAAAGGTCAACCCAAAAGTCAACCCCGAGAGGATAAAAAATGAGAGAAAAGGTCAGAGTGTGAAAAAGGCACGAACACCAAGTAAACTCAAGGGGAAACAATCCCCAAGTAGTGGAAACCAAGAAAGAAACACCGAAAAGCGAGTTTTGTTCGGTTTAAAGTGTGCAAAACGGGAAGGGTTTCGCAAATTGAACAACGAAAAAGGCTCAAAAACAAGAGAAAAACAAGGATCGAAGGCGGGAAAATCACCTAGAGAGAAAGATGAAGGATTTTCGAGCTTGGGGAAGTGAAAATATGGGGTTTCGAACACCATATTTAAAGACCCGTGGCCAAAAGACAAAACTGCCCCCGAAACTGCCATTTTTGGCTGGCCGACCAAATTGTTAGCCGATCGGCCAAATATTTGGCCGATGAGATCCTTTTGTGCGCAATGGATAGCCGGTGGCCTCCCCTTGTGGTCGATGCACCTCCCGCACCCTTGTCTGGGTCAGTTAGGTTGTTTGAGACCTTCATTCCTCAAGACAGTGCATGAAAGTAGACTTTGAAGCTCAACCGGCCTTCGTGTTGACCTCGAATTGTGCCTTCCGAGTGCGATGCTTGGTACGCGCAAGGTGTATCCTTTTTTGTATCCTTTTGTATCTTGCGAGATTCTGAAACTGCTTTAAATGCGTTGCATCACATTGTTTTGTCTTGTTTATGATAATCATGCATCTTTCGCATTGTTATGCACGTACTACATGCGTTGTCACGCACACCATTCTTGCATTGTTATGCACTGTTCATATGCGTTGTAGTGCACACCATCACTTGCATTGTTATGCACTTTTCACTCACATCATTATGAACTTTTCACCCGCGTTGTTACGCGTCTTTCAAATTGCATTGCTATACGTATTGGAATTGTATCTTTATGTGACGTTGGATACGTGTTGTTACTATATTGTACCTGTCAAGTTTCTTTCTTATGCAGAGCATGATATTGTATGTACGGTTCATTTGAGGTTGGTCTAACCAAACGACACTGTATGTGCAGTTTATTCAGAGGAATTCCAGGTAAGACCCTTCCTGTCCTTTGAGTTCGTTTTGTTTTAGTTAGAAACACCTCGGCGTGCTCGATGTGATTTGTTGAGTGTTGTGCCTCCCTTCTCTTGCCTGTGATACGCTGAGAATTGCCTCCCTTCTCTTGCGTGTGATACGCTAAGAATTGCCTCCCTTCTCTTGCGTGTGATACGCTGAGAATTGTCTCCCTTCTCTTGCATGTGATATGTTGAGAATTGTTTCCCTTCTCTTGCGTGTTATACACTGAGAATTGCTTTCCCTTCTCTTGCGTGTGATACGCTGAGAATTGCCTCCCTTCTCTTGCGTGTGATACGCTGAGAATTGCCTTCATTCTCTTGCGTGTGACACGCTAAGAATTGCCTTCCTTCCCTTGCGTGTGATACGCTGAGAATTGTTTCCCTTCTCTTGCGAATGATACGCTGAGAATTGCCTCCCTTTACTTGCGTGTGGTACGCTGAGAAATATTGTGTTTGAGACTCTGGGCTTTCTCGGTAGTCGCTTTTAGCATTCTCCGCGCGAGACGCGGCGAGAATTGCATAATTTTCTTATGTCCTTTCTGCATGAAATGTAGTTTGATTCTTATTCGCTTGCTTAAATCGTTACATGTTATGCGTCATTACAGCTCTCTTTGCATGATCATAAGTTATGCTCGGCGTTGTGCATGTCATTTGTATCTTGCCCCTGCCTGCGGGCTCATCTCTTTGTTATCTTGTATGTTTGTCTAAGTCTTCGACCTTATCGACAATGGGTCGTCTCTGGGCTTTGACATTCACTCCCGTCATCTTATGACTTTCGAGTTCTGTCAAAGAGGGGCAACTATAGACATCCCATTTTTGACCGTCCTTAAGACTTGGACGTCATCGTTTGAACACTCGATGATCATCCATGCTCGTGTTCGTTTTGAGTTCCTGAAGGTCTCGATTGTGCACCTTGCCTTAAGATCTCTTAACTCGTTTGTTTTGTGCTTGGTTGTGGACCAAGGACTTGTGTTTTTACTTCTAAGGAAAGGGAGGGTGGCTTGTTGGCCATCCCCACACCCCATCGGCTATGGCATGATGCCATCGGCCATAAATGTTGGCCGGTCGGCACTTTTGTTGGTTGGTCGGCACTTATTTTGGTCGATCGGCCATATTTTCTGGCCGAGGCCTTTTCTTTGCCTTTTTCAGGCATTGTGCATGCCAGCTGGTGAGCACAAACTCTTCTCTCCATACACGTGTATGGAGGGATTTGAACCAAAACTTAGCTTCTCTAAGAAGCTTTGAATTTGATTTCCTATAGGAGGGGAGCCTCGCCTCCCTTTCCAGAGGTTCAGCAAAATTGATATAGAAGATATATATCTCTCTCTATATCTCCCTCTCTCTATATATTTGTGTGTGTGCTTGTGATCTAAAGTGTGTTTTTGTTCATACTTTTGCACTAGAGCACCTAGTAGAATACCTTCATTTGGTTGTTGAGGCACTAGGAAGTTGGTTTCAGATTTTTTGGGTTGGTTTTGATCCACGGGAGTGGCTGGAGTTGTGTTCTTGAAGGTGTTCTTCAAGGATGAGCAACTAACCTTTTGTTTCCCCATTTTGGCTTAAGGTTTTAGACCTATTTGCATATTGTTTCAAGCTTAACTATAACTGAAAAAAGTTATGTTTTTATATGCTTTAGATGATTGTTTAAAGTCTCTTTTGGGTTGGGGGTTGTCTACCCCCTCTTAGGCCTTGTTTGGCATTATTTTGGGTCATCATTTTTGGCCTTTGTTCTTGCTTTGGCTTGACCTTTCTACCACTAAAATCCAGAGGATTTTCAGTGGTGGAAAGGTGGTTTTAGAGTCTTGTATAGGAGAGGGACACCCCTCTCTCCTTGTGTCTCATTTGCTTGTGTTAATGGCTTGTAATGGTAGCATGTTTGCTTAACATGTTTTTGCTTCATTTCAGCAAGTATTTGGTGTTATTTGGTCATGCTATACCTCTGTTTTAAGTTGGTTTGATAGCCTCTTACATGCATCAGGCACTTGTTTAGCAATCCTCTTATTTGCCTTAACATGCACCTTGCATTTAGACCATCATGCTTGCACACTTTGGCTCAACTCAAAGGAACTTTTAGTCATATTTCAGCATGCTAAAGCTCTGTTTCATGCTGTTTTGATCATACATACATTGCTTTGTATAGCTACCATACATCCTAGCTTGTTAGCTTCGAGTGTCCAAGCCATTAGCATACACTACCTAGACCTTTTTTATGATTTGGCATCATCCCATATAAGATTTCAGTCCATGTAGTGTAGCCATACACTTGCATTCGTCGTCCTTTCAAAGCCTTTAAGAGTTGATGTTTTATGCCTCATGATTGGATCATTGTGCATGCCATCATATTTAGGTCTTTAAGATGCCATCTCAGTGGGTTTTCGGGCTTATTTTAACATAATGTAACACTGTTTTTCATTGTTTAAGTTATGCCAAGCTTGGTTGTAATAGGTGTAGTGTAACACCCCTTTGTAGCCTTACATGCTTCATGTTTTGTGCTCACCTTTCTAACATATTTTGGCCTCATTCCATGCATGTTCTAGCCTTGTCTTGGTCTGCCTTGGGACTGTTTTAAGTCACCTTGGTCCTTTGGGGCTCACTTATTATGGCCATAGTGTAAACCACTTTGCTAGCCATAAGCCTTGAGCTTTATTGCATGCTATGCTTGCGTTGTTTGGTTGATTTGGCATCATTCCTAATATCATTTCAGAGCTCTCATTGCCGCATTATCGTGTTTGTCACTTCTTGCACATGCTTGAGAGTTGTATCCTTACGCTTAGGTGATAGGCCATTACCTTCGCATGCTTAGTGTGCATCTCATTCCATCATCTCTTGGTACTTTGGCCACTGTTTTGGTATGGTTGAGGCCTATCCATTTTTAGTATAAGTCCATGGATCATGCGGTTTGTGTATTGTTCTATGCTTGTCGCATTGCATGTTGTTGCATACTTATTGTTGGTATCATTGTTGCATGCCTATCACATTGTATGTTTGCATATCTAGGTTGCATACTCGTATTGCATACTTATTGTATGTCATGTTGTTTACATGTTAGGTTGCGTTGCATTTCATTTATCATGCTCATGTTACATTGCCTTGCATTCCCATGTTGCATTGTACTTGGTTGCATACATTGCATTGTGTTTGGTTTGGGGTGTCAAACCAAACACGAGGAACGAGGAACGTTCGTACTTGAAGTGACGAAACGTGCCTCAATCCTCGGTCGACGCTCTTGATCAAGCATGATAGAGTTCTAGGCATTCATATGTTTTTGTTGCATTCATTCCACATTGATTTGCACACTTGTCTCCTTTGGCCATCATGCATTGAAATGCGGGATTGATGGTCCGAGGGTCGAGAACCATACTCCCTTGAGTTCATGACATGATAGGAAGGGTGGTTGTGCACACATTGCCTTGAAAATGCATTGCCATTCTCTGTTTGTCCTGTGCTGCAGCAAAACAACATTCTGCAAGAAGATATGGCCGGCCGGCCATCTTCAGTGCCGATCGACTAAACATTGTTGGCCGAGATCCTCACAAATGGTCGATGACCAATTCCACATGGCCGATGTTCCTATATTTTGGCCGGTGACATCCCACAGTGCTCAGGGAGTGGTTCGGAAGCATCCTTGGGACTTGTGCAGTTTTCAGAGGTGTAAAACAGTGCAAACACAAGCAACATGTGGCATGGCAACGGGTTTCCGAGCGAGGCGATCGAGCATGCATCATTCAATCATTCCGAGGCGGAGTTGCGGCGGCCTCTTTAGTTTCATAGCTTAGTTAATTTGTTTAAATTAGTTAAGGGTTTTGTAATATATAATTAGCTACGGTAGTTGATTAATTATTCAGTTTGTATTATTTATTCGGACCCTCCGTCGAGTGGGCGAATTTTGTAATAAGTGTGCGTGAGTGTGTAAATGTCTTCTAACCCCACGTCTTTCTCTCTTTTACTTACCTGCTTTCAATGGTTAGTTTTAGGTCATGTTTCAATTAGCATCCTTATGCTCGCATGTTTGCATCATTCATCTGTATTGCATGCACTGGGCTCGGCGCATCATACTAACTGCATAGTATTTCAATTCCAACTTGAATATGTGTATCGAGTTGTCGCATTTCACATGCCATTCTTAGATTGGCCAAGCCTATTCTAGTTGCATTTTTGCATGTGTTGCATTAGCCTTCTTAACATGAACTAGGATCATGCATTTGATTTCTAACTAGCTATTGTTTTGGCTCGGAGTACTAGGTAAGCGTTTACGCTTTAGCAAACCACATGTCTGTAAGTGTTGCCATGATAGCATGCTTGCCATGAGGCTATTTGCTTATGTGATATAACTGCCTGAATGCCATAGGTGAAGGTTGGACTACCTGAATTGGAACAATTCATTGAATACGAGTTTTAAGCCCACTTTGCAGGGTGGCGAAAATCATGTTTTCTAAGCCCACCCGAGGGTGGCAAATCCACGTCTTAGCCTACTTGCGAGTAGCATCATCAAACCATTTTCAAATAAACAAACATAAAATGTTTTGTTCCAATTTAGGTGATCCGGTCTATACTTGTGTGTTGTGCGCATCACATAGTAATTTTAGGCTAATAATCAGAATAAGAACGTATATATTTTCAAAACAAAATATCATGCTTAGTACAGGCCGATCTTCGATCGGGCCAGCAGGGGTGCTCATTGCATGACCTTCCCCTCTCATACCCAAGTTCCCGAGCCAAGGCAACTTTGGTGATGACGGGCACGTGGCCTTAGGCAACGAGTTAGGATTTCCTAAATTCCCCCAAAATAAAATATTTAGGTGGCGACTCTGTATCTGGCAAAGCAGTCCATGTTTAGCACTTCTTTCTTAAAATTAGTTTTCCAAAACGATTTGCCGGATTTGGACTCTTTGGTGATTTATCAGTCTTGCATTGCACTTTGCGAGATCAGATTAAGAACCGTGACATTCGAGTCTGAACTGTAGTAAGCCCAAATGACCAAAACGAGATCTCCCTCCCCCCGGGACGTTCGGGCGCGTCTACAGTGAGACATTGTGACATGTCTATCACAACATCCCTTTTTATTCCTCCCCACCAGTACTGACGTTTGAGATCTTGGTATATCTTTGTCCCTCTTGGATGTACTACAAAGGTTGAGTGGTGGAATTCCTTAAGTACTTTCTTCCTTAGGGGTTCAACATTGGCTACAAAAATTAAACTTTGGAACTTCAGGTTGCTATCCTTGGAGGTCTCCCAATTAGTAAGGACTCTCCTGAGGCAAGTTGTGCTTTAAGGAACACTAACTCTTGATCGAACTTCTAAGCTTCTACAACTTCCTCAAGCAACATAGGGGTAGAGGCTAGGGCATAGAAACAAGCTTTTTTGTCAAGTGTCTCTATCTGTACCTCAAATTCATTGATTACTTCTATCATCTTCCACCCTTTGGCCGTAATAGAGGCCGTAACTTCTCTTGTCTGTGCCACTATATTGGCCCTGGTAAGATGGTAAGACAAAGTAAACTGATAGTCCTCTAGATACTCAATCCATCATCTATGTTTCATATTCAAATCACTTTGAGTGGAGAGGTACTTCAAACTCTTGTGATTCGTGAAATGTAATATCTTCATTCTGTAGGTCCGTTCAAGTAGTGGACTTATCGCTCAAGCGGTGAATTGAGGTTTCTAGTATTTCTTCTACAATCTAAGTGTTGAATGAGACTACTTATGCTCTCTTAGGCATTCTTTTGTACCATTTGAACTTTCTAAGTGAATTAAAAAGGGTAGAATGAAGCCTAAGAGAATTGAAAGAGTTAAAGAACAATCTAGTTAAACAATGTGATTCAACGTGTGTACATTTATGATTGTGTAGGATCATCCAGAAGGACAAGTTGACAACCGAATCACTGTGAGTAATATCTTAATAAACATATTTTCTTACTTACTCTACTTTCTTCATATTCTACTGTAGTAAACTTTTTAAAACTATGAATATGCAAAAGTGAATGAGTTTCTATCTGTCTGATCATTGTGACATCTGCAAATGTGATCAATGACAGGAATGTGTATAATGGACCCAAGGTCATTCTGTATATTTGAATTGGACCCGAGGTCGTTATATACAATTGACAAGATGGACCTAAGGTCGTTCCAAGCATCTGGTACGACTGACTATCTGTTATTATTTGATCAAATAATTATTATACAGCTATAAATGAATTGACCTAAGGTCATTCCGTTATGATATGATCAACTCCACACTATACATATGTTATTTGTTGGACTTGAGGTCGTTCTGTCATCTATTGGACACAAGGTCGTTCTGTTATGAAATCGTGCGATACAAAAATGTTTATATCATTTACTAGATCTCATTCACATAAACCGTTTACTCTAATGTTATTCACTAGGTGTTAGCTCACACTATTTATATATATGTATGTAGGTGAGCAACAAGTTGTCTAACTCCAGCCTTAGTGAACCTGATAAAGATACTAAGTTTTGAGGAGTCTATTTTGAACGCCTCACGAACGAGGCTTTTGTACTTCTGTTCTTTTGTCTTTTCAATTTTCATTTCTTTCTTTTGTTGGTCACACCTGACCATTTCAGTGTATAAGTTTTGGTTAATGTGCCAGTGAGGTTTGAAAGATCTTGAACACATGGAATCTTATTATGAATGTGCAAGTGTGAGTTATTAACATATGAGAAGTTTTCTATTTATGCCATTTATGCACAGCTCATTAGATAAATTTTATAATTCTACTTCCCATCTAGCCCCCTTATTATTGACTATGTCTGTAATCTGTCTGATGCTGTAGGTAATCTCATGATTGCTGGCCGGTTATGATCCAAACCTCTAGGGGCAAGTTAGGGTCATGACACATGGCATTGAGGACAACAATTTGAGGGTGACCTTGGTGTCCTTCCAACTAAAGGGAGATGCAAGTCAATGGTGGAAGTATCCGCAAGGGCATATTGGGGTGACTTAGGAGGCCATTGTCAACGCATTCCAAGATATTTTTTTGCCACCCACTACTAGGGAGAAGTTGAGGAATCTGTTTCTAAAGCTCAAGTAGTTGAACACGCCGGTAGCTGAGTTTGGCATCACTTTCACTGGTTTGTTGACGTTTATGCCGAAACTTCTAGCGACAGAAAAACGCCGTTGCATCGAGTTTGAGAATAGGTTGAGAACGAGACTCCTTTTCATGGTGGATGGGTCAATGATTAGGGATTACGACCATTTTGTGGAATCAACGGCCCACTTAGAGATGGTGATCCGAGCAGATGAGGAGTCGAGGAGGGGCTCTAGGCAAAGGTTCTAGGATGTTCTAGGGGACGCAAGGGATTACAAACGGTAAAAGGATTTCACCCCACAGTAGTCCCAGGTGACATGGTTCAGATCCACCTTTCTCATACCGAGTTCAAGTTTAGGGAGAGGGAATCATGGTGGGTTCACTTGCTTCAAATATGGTCAGTTGGACCACAAGTCTTTAGTTTTCCTGCAGAGAGGAGGAGGGCAACAGTTTGCACCATCTTCAGCTCGTCCTCAGAACCGGAGTTAAATGAGGGGTCAATCGCCTGCCTGTTATCAGTGTGGGCCATCGAGACACTTTAGAAGGTTTTGCCCTCAGTCTGGTGGCACATCTAGTGCATTTAGTTTGAGGCAGACATATAGCTATCAGTCAACACAATCATCACAAGCCTCGAGGTCCAATTAGGGAGCCACATCAGCTCAATTAGTGTATCAAGCCTTTGCTCTGAGGGGTGAACAGGTAGAGCCGAGGCCTTCAAGACGTGTGTATGCCATTACCTGTAGACACCCCATTTTTGACCGTCCTCAAGACTTGGACGTCATCGTTTGAACACTCGATGATCATCCTTTTTCGTGTTTGTTTTGAGTTCTCGGAGGTCTCGGCTACGCGCATTGCCTCAAGATCTCTCAACTTGCCTGTTTTGTGCTTGGTTGAGAACCAAACACTTGTTATTTTGCTTCTAAGGGAAGAGGGTGGCTTGTTTGCCATGCCCTCAACCCACCAGCCAAGGCTTGAGGCCACCGGCCCTGTTTTCTTTCCATCGGCCAAGTGTGTTGGCCGATCGGCACTATGTTTGGTCGACCGGCCATTGTGTTGGTCGATTGGCCATTTTTTCTGGCCGAACCCTGTTCATCTGCTTTATGCAGATATTTTATCCCAGTTGGATTAGCTGGCATGCACATTTGCTCCCCTCCATACACGTGTATGGAGGGATTTGCCTCTTGACTTAGCTTGCTTTGGAAGCTTTGTTATTGAACTTCTATAAAGAGGGAGCTCCTTCTCCCTCCTCAGAGGCTCAGAAATTTTCCTTAGAAAAGATAGATATAGCCTTGTATCTATCTTGCCTTGTTTCTCCATTTTTGTGCTTCAAAAGTGAGTTTTTGTCTTACTTTTGCACTTGAACACCTAGCATTACACCATCCTTGGGTTACTGATGTATTAGAGGGTTGTTATTAGGGTTCTTGAGCTGTTCTTGGTCAGAGAAACTTGTTGGAGCCTTGTTCTTGAAGAGGTTCTACAAGGGTGAGTTTCTTACTTTTAGATACCCCTTTTTTTCTTAAGCCTTTAGCCTATCTTGCATCTGTTTTTAAGCTTAACTTATAACTAATAAAAGTTTTGTTTTTAAGTGCTTAAAATAGTTGTTTAAGATCACTTTGGTGTTTGGGGTTGTACCCCCTCTTAGGCCTTGTTTGGCCTCACTTTGTGCCTTTTTTTTGTGAGCTCCGGGACCACCTTGTATTGGCCTTCTCACCACTGAAATCCAGAGGGATTTCAGTGGTGGGGATGGTGTTTTGAGGTCCTAAGAAGGAGAGGGTCATCCCCTCTCCTTGTTGTCTTCAATACTTGTCATATTTACCTCATATGTGAGCATGTTTGTTAAGTTCATGTTGACCGTGTCTTAGTTGGTATTTGTGATTGTTTTGCCATGATATAGCACTATTTTGACTTGGTTTAGATGTACCATGCATGCTTTGTATACTTGTTTTGTAATCCTGTGATTTGCCTTAACATGCACCATGTTGTGACATGTCTTTTTAGCATGATTTTGGCTCAACTTCTTGAAGCTTCTAGCTTTGTTTTAACATGCTAAAGCTCTGATTTTGGTTCTTTTGGTCGTCCATGACTTGCTTTGTATAGCTACCATGTAATCTAGCTTGTTAGCTTTGAGTGTTCAAGCCGTCAGCATGCCTTATTTGGATCGTTTCAGTGGTTTGACATCACTTGTAATGGTATTTCAGTCCATGTTTCATGCTTGTACACTCACACTTATCACCCCTTTAATGTCTTAAAGAGTTGGAGTCTTACGCCTCATGAATGTGTCATTGCGTATGCCACCATGCATTAATCTTTGGGATACCATCTAAGTGGGTTTTTGGGCTTATTTTGGCATGCCATAACTCTGAGTTTGGTCGCTTAAACCAGGCCGTGTTTGGTTGCATTAGGGGTAGTGTAACACCTCCTTGATAGCCTTGCTTGTCTCATGCTTTTGCCCCTTTGATTTAGCTTGTTTTAGCTTTGGTCATTGCATGTTTTAGGCTTACTCTGCCATGCTTTAGGACTGTTTTGGGTCATGCTTGCCATACGCCTTTTGTTTCGTGTATCTTTGGTTCAAGCCCCTTCACTAGCCTTAAGCTTTAGGCCTCCTTGCATGCTACACTTGTTTTGTTTGGTTGATTTGGCATCACTCCTCACATGATTTCAAAGCTTAATGCATTGCCATATTCTCATGTTTACCACATCTTACTCGTGCTTGAAGATTGTGCATCGTTGCCTAAGTGTTGGACCATTTGCATGTGCATGTTTGTTTTGCATTCCCATGCTCCCAATTCATGACTATTGGCCACTGATTTGGACCTATTTGAAGGCTATCCATCTTGGTTTAAGACCATCCCCGCATGTTGTTGCATGTTTGCCTTGCATGTTGTCACATGCTTGATGCATATTTAGTACCATGCATGTTGTTGCATGCTAGTATGTTGCATGCTTTTCCCTTAATCATGTTGTCACATGCTTGTCTCATTTTGTATGTTGTTGCATACTTGTCCACCTTTGCATGCCTTGCATGCTTGAATGTTCATGTTGCATCTTGCATACTTGTTAGTTGTATGCTTGCCCCACATGTTGTTCCATGCTTGGGTTTTTTGCATGCTTGCTTGCATGTTTAGGTTGCATTGCATTGAGTGTGCATTCCCTTGCCTCTTGATCAACTATGATGGAGGTTAAGAGCCCCTTTGTATGTTTTTGCACATTTCATTTGATAGTAATTGCACACTTGGCCTCTTTGGGCCATCATGCATTGAAATGCGTGATTGATGGCCCGAAAGCTGAAGACCATACTCCTTTGAGCTTTAAACATGATAAGGAGGGTGGTTGTGCAAACATTTCCTTGAAAATGCATTGCCATGCTCTGTCTATCCTCTGTTGCAGCAAAAATAGGATTCTGCAGGAATAGATGGTCGGTCGGCCATCTTCAGTGCCGGTCGGCTAATTTAACCTGGCCGAGAGCCCCACTTTTGGTCGATGATCATGTTCCCATGGCCGGTGACTTCATATCTTGGCCGGTGAACTCCCACAGTGATCAGGGAGTGGTTCAGGAGCATCCTTGAGACTTGTGCAGTGTTCAGAGGTGCATAACAGTGTAAACAGAGGCAGCATGAGCATGGCGATGGATTTCCGAGCAAAGCCGTCCGAGCATGCATGCATCCCTCTTCCCGAGGCTGCTTTAATGTTTTACTAGCTTAGTTAATTTGTTCAATTGGTTAAGTGGTTTTGTAATAATTGATTAGCTTTGTTAGTTAGTTAATCTGTATTATTCTTTCGGACCCTCCGAGAGGGCCAATTATTGTAATAAGCATGCGTGTGTGTGATGCATGTCTTCCAACCCCACATCTTTCTCCCTTTCACTTAACTAGTTGTGATGGTTAGTTGTATGGCATATTTGATTTAGCATACCGTGTGCTGTGCATGTTTGCATCATTCATCTGTATTGCATGCACCGGGCTCGGCGTATCATACTAACTGCATTGTATTTCAATTCCTATTTGAATACATGTATCAAGTTGCATCTCACATGACATCTTAGAATAGTCGAGCCTATTTCTAGTTGCATTTTGTATGAGTTGCATTAGCCATCTTAACATGAACTAGGATCATGTATTGATTACTTACTAGTTTCTGTTTTGGATTGGAGTACTCGGTGAGTGTTTATGCTTTAGCATCCTTGCATGTGTGTGAGTGACTGCCATGATAGCATGCCTGCCATGAGGCTATTTGCTTGTGTGATATACCTGCCTGAATGCCTGTGGGTGAAGGTTGAATTACTTGAATTGGGACAATTCATTGAAATCTGCATTTTAGCCTACTTGCGAGTAGCAAACTTCAAATCATTTTTTCAAACAAACGGATATGCAATGCTTTGTTCCAAATTAGGCGACCTAGTCTATACTTGTTTTGCTGTGCGCATCACGTAGTAATTCTAGGCTAATAAACCGGAATAAGAACACATGTGTTTTCAAAAACAAGATGTCATGCTTAGTACAGGCCGATCTTTGGATCGGGCGAGCGGGGGTGCTCATAGATGACCTTCCCCAATCGTACACAAGTTCCCGAGCCGAGGCAACTTTGGTGATGACGGACATGTGGCCTTAGGCACGAATCAGGGTTTCCTAAATTTCCCCAAAATAAATATTTAGGTGGCGACTCTGTATCTGGCAAATCAGTCCATGTTTGGCACTTCTTTCTTGAAAATCAGTTTTCCAAAATGATTTGCCGGATTTGGACTCTTTGGTGATTTATCG